GTACATCTGTGAATGTGAATTTTTCATTTCCAGCTCTTGACAATCACAGATTTGCTCTTTTTGACAGTTCACGTGGCCATGTCAATCACGTCGCAGCTCATTGTGTAACAAAATCTCAGCAACAATTTTAATCTGTTTTCACATTGGGTTCACTTTGTCAATGGAGGACCTCGTGGTAATAACATGCTATGCCACTATACGTAAGTTTTGAGGAAAAGGAAAGTAAAGGATGAAAAGTTTCCATAAATAAGTAAGCTAAAGCCTTGCCTATGATACTTATTTTTTAAAATCTATCAGCGTTCACAAGATGAAATATCTGCATTATATCCATTAATAATGGAACTGAGTTCTTGAAAAACTAACATTTCCCTTTATTGAGTTAATTGCCATGGCTTAGCATGTTTTTCGTGAAACATAACTCATTCTTTCTATAGGTGAAAAAAGTGATAATACCTAGAAATGTCTAAACCATGCAAAATTTAGTCAAAGTAGTTAAAGAAGGGCTAAAAAGACAGAGAAGTCATAGTATGGAAGGAGGACCAAAAATTCAGAAACCTTGATACATGTGAAGATGATAAGGGTAGTGACAAAAACCATGATTATGATGATATTAAGGAACAAGAAAATAATGGTTCAGCAACAACTCTTTAACATTCTCATCAGCAAGTCCATTTTCTAGTCAATGAGACATTTTGTGATTTTATTTTGACTAAATAGTAAAAATTAGTTTAAAATTTTAAAGTCACAGCCTCTTTAAAATTAGGGGGGGCATCTTATATTCGAGGTCGACGTATATTCGGGTAAATACAGTACTTTTTAGTTCGATTATTATGTCTGTCACTACCATCAGACTAGCATATTATTACCCCAAGGTCTTCAATACAATGTAATACAATGCCATTTGTTTGAGATTTTCTTTACTGGTACATTAAAAAATATTGGTCTGAATTGCCCAGCTATAATGCTGTGAATACTGCTAATACCTTTGCGAATATCTAGAAAATTAGTTAAGAACAAATTATGAACCCGATATTTGCTACGATATTGTTCAAAATGACTATCTTGGATTGATATTGTCGTCTTATCTATAAAAGTTCTTGTTATGTGCATAAAATATGAGTACTTCTCCAATTGCAGATGGGGTAGTATTGCGGCAGGGCAGCTACCTCAGTGCCGTAGCTGATATTGGCATATTTGAACATTCTCTTACCACAGATCTTCTCAACCATCTTGTCTTTGTTCAGAAAGTGTTCATGAAGGTAAAATTTCTGTTCTGAAAAATTTATTTTACTGCTTTATGGCACATAACTGTAAAACTTGTTATAAAGGGAAAATAGCACCAAAAATATGATTTTGTGTCAATATAAAACAAAATCTCAGAGTCAAATGTTTCACTCAATTAAAATATACACATTTATTGATGTATTTTGAAAAAAATTTTCTCACATTTTTATTGCATGACATTTACTTCCTAAATACAAAGTATGAAAATAAAAGATTTGTCTAGATTTATTTTTGTGTAATTCTAATGAATGTTAGCATATGTTTCGAAGCATTTGTTTTGTAGGAAGTGAACGAAGTGGTTCAAAAAGTGTATGGTGGTGAGAAACCTGTTCCTTTGTGGATGGAAGGAGGTGAGGAGTCAGCCACTTCTTCGCTCAAGCGCATTCTGTTTTCACTTGTCATCAGAATAAAGGTATTGGCCTTTGGTTTTTTTCTCAGTTCTTATTGCAGAGAATGCACAATGGGTACTTGCATGAATTGATATTTGCAGCGAATTCAATTGACGGCAACTACACCTACAAATTCAGCTGTACGACTAGAAACAGGTGCTGTTGAGCTGCAATTGTCTAATCGTGTTCAGAATGTGTCTGGGTGTGCTCAACCTAATCCATACATGAAGCTTTTCGGAAAGGCTCAAGTAGATGTAAATCTTAGCCTTGGACAACTGCTAAAGAATGTCATGTTTGAAGAAGCAGAACCTGAGTTCCAGCAGTATGCCTTCTTCAAGACTCGCATTGGTATGTAATATTTGTTATAAAAGGGTTTACAATTTTTAATGTCAGGTTATAGTTTTAATATTAACATTCAAAATCATTGAAAATCTTAATTTAAAAATAAATTATGTCAATACTTTAATGTGATACCTACTTCTATTAAGTCTATTTTAAATTGTATTTGGGAAGTATTATGTACTTGCCTCATTGTTGGTTCTAATGAGATTGGTGTAAAGGATAGTACAATGAGAAATTTTTACTTCTCAAATTCCACAAGAAGATAAAAGAAAATTATTGATTGTTGGAAGGTAGTTAAGAAGGAATTATGTTTCATTTTAGAGTGAGAATAATGGAATTTCATAATTAAGCTAGTTTTTGAGATGTTAAAGTTGGATATTGAAATTGTTTCATTTTGTTTTATTTTCTATTTTAGGAAGAAAATAGCCTCACAATGTTTCAAAACTTTTTGAGATGTATTTATAATTTTTTATCCTTGTTCGTATGATGATTTTAGTGTTTTTTCCACAGGCCTTCGAAATGCTTTCCAAGATGAAATGGTGCAAGGGGAGGAGAAAGAAGTGGTGTTAATAACTCTTCGCAGACCACTAATGTACATCCAACCTATGGCAGTAGACAAAGCCATTCTGGTGTGGTTGAACTATAAAAATGCTTATGAGTACTGGAATGAACAACGGTCCAGCCTTAATAAGGAAGTGTTGACTGCCACTCAGCAGGTAAATTTTCAAAGTTAAAATTACTCAAATTTTTGTATAATTTTCAACAATGCAATATTGCTGTTTTTTCCAAGTTTCACAATATTTTCCAGTAGGTACCCCAAAACCTGTTTTAAATTCCATTTTACTCCTCCTGCCCTTGGATAGTTCTTTGGTGCTCCTTTGAAAGACCCACCCTCTAGTTGCTCATGCTATTCTTCTCAGAAAGTTGTCAAGTAATTGACACGAAATTCTCATGAGGACCAGACAGTGAGTCTGAAAGTGAAGTGAGAATTTTCTTTGATTCTCATTGATTTGATATTTTTATTTTTTGCGTTTTCCATTGAGTGTATCTTTATTTGCCTAGATAAGTTCTATTTCACAAATTTTACACTTTCCTAAATTGATGTGACTTTCTTCATTTGCATTGCTGTTGTAGGTCTTTGAGAAAGTGCCCTTTGGCCAACTGACTAGTCAGTTGAGTGCTCCGCATCTGGGTACACTCTTCCTTCAGTTGACTGTAGATGATATGGGCTTATGTCTGCCTCTGAATCCTGTTCCTCCAGTAAGTAAAACATTTAGTTACTGTTGGCATGGAATCTTTGTGTTGTGTGGATTTTAATCCGCAACCCACAATAACACGGGTCAATGACGTTTTGGCATTTTGGAGATCCAGAAACATTTTACTAGCATGTGTAGAGGGTTCTTATGAAATTTGATTGGAAGAGATCATAAATAAGTGTGTGGCCTTCAGCACATGGCAACTGTGAATGAGGAGCCACTGGTATCTACTACGCAAAAGTACATACCTCAATTTTCTGGGTAGGTGTGATTAAACACTTTTAAACTAGAAGTGCTACAAAATGGTTTACACTATCGTCTAATACATAGTTCTCTTTTCATTTGAGGCAGAGCTACATTTTCTGTATTGCCTTCCATTCCTGCAATCTATTAGGTCCTTGTGGACCTCCTATGATAACTACCACTCATCTGAGGACAAATTCCAATAAAGAACTTGCTCATGCTCCCGAACAAATTGCTGAAGTAGCCCATACACCCTGTCACAATGTCCTTGGTAACCTACGGCCCTTCTTGGTACTTGTATCATTGTTCTGAGTGTAGGGTGCCAGTTTCTGTATTAAATACACATAGAGACAGACAGAATGAATGGAGATCTTGCACACAGTTACCGGTCAGGATAAGGGACTATCGAAGGACTAAGGTATTAATATGGCACCCAAGGAGTCCCCATGCCACTAACACAACTGAAAATGTGTATGCCTTACTCTAGTTAAAAGAACAGTTAGTATCCACATACTGGAGTGTACCTGCCCCAAGCTCCTGTCACAAGGCCTGTTCTCTTGACCATACTATTTGTAAATGTGTCTGCAATATTCGTTACAATAATAATAATAATAATAATAATAATAATAATA